TTCCAAGGGAACCACCACGTGGCTCTTTCTGTCTTCCCATTCAGCAAAAGTCTCAGCCAACTTTGTCAAATGCAGCAAATTCATCACAGCCACATCATCTCCATGATTGTTGGTGAGAAAGCAAAGAACTTGCCCACAGTCAAACTTGTTGCCATCATGACTTGTCAAGTATACCAAATCACCTTGGGAAGAAAGGCCATGCTTGATTCTGGCATGGTTGCTGCTGCTGGCATCATTCCAGCTGTACCAAATCTCTGCAGCCAAAGGAACCAATCTCCTAGCCAAAGACTTTGCTTGCAACAAACCTGGCTCAATTGCAAACACATCAGGGTCTGAAAGCCTTTCCATCTCAAGGGTCACAACTTCAGAGTACACAGACCATTCGAAATTGCTCAAGTTCTGAATCAATGTTGCAATTCTTCCTGGCATCTTGTTCTTTCTCTCCATACAAAAGGTATTGGGAATACATTGGTGCTTGGACAGCATTTGGTGAAAGTGCAGAAGCCAATGGTGCTTCTTGATCAGCTTCCAATCCAAGTCAACACACTGCTTCAAGCTGCTTTCTGCTGCTTCCAAAAGTTGCAAGGGAACCACTGTACCATGCCAAGTGGCTTGAAGCAAGTCCATGAGGCACAGGATTGACAAGAAGGCCTCTACTTCTTCTTTGCATGCATTGGCTGGGAGACACACCACTCTCATATAGTGTGCAACAATGCTGCACAAAGTCAAAAGTTCACTGGCAGTAGCAATGATTTTCTTGTGCTTCCTGTCCTTGGCCAATCTTTTGCTCTGAAACAAGGGTCCCAATTTAATGTTGCTCAAAGATTTTGGCAAGTGAAAGTGCTGCACATAAGAAGAAAGTAGATCCCATTGGTCCAGCTTGTCCAGCACATTGAAAAGAGCCATGTTCATCACACCATTGGATAATAAACAATGCATCCAGTCCCAACAGTTTTGCCTGGTAGGCCTCAAGATGGGCCTGAGTGTTGGGTTGGCCAGCAATGCATGAGGTGAGAAGCTAATCCCAGTTGCTTGCTCCCACTGCTGGAACTCTTTTTTGGAAACATTGCCATGTCTTTCTTTCATCCTGTCCCAGCTCTGGAAAATTTCCTTGTCAGAAACCAAATGCAGTTGGTCAAATTCGCAGTGCTTTGCAATCTCTGACATGGAGCCATCTTCTGCATCATTGTCATTGTCATCAGCAAGTTGGAAAATGTTGGCACATTGCTGACAAAAGCGGCTACCACTGTCTCCTTTGGTGCTCCAAGAAAATTTGGCAGCTTGACCATCCATAATAAGAAAACCCAGCTGCAAGAAGAGTCTTTTGCCAAGTGTTGCATGCCCTGGTGGCTCCTGCAGTTGCAGACCCAGTTCTTGCACATTTCCATGGCTGCTGTAAAATATCGATTCCAGCAATGCAGACAGAATTTGGCTCAAGTGGCCATCCAAGGCAGCAACAGTGTCACTTCTGATCAGCCCAACTGTCATCCATACAGCTTCCTTCTGCAAATGGACAGAGAACTCTTTTATAGATATGTATATGCACCACATCTTCCTGGTTGGCACATTGGCCAAGACATTTCCTGGTGTCACCTCATCTGCATAGACCAGCAAGGAAAGTGGGCTATTGTGTTTTGCCAGAGTTTTCTTCAGCAAGGTGTGGAATCCACCTCCTGCCCTGTAAGCCGCATGGATGTATGAAAGCAAATTCACAAGCTTTACCTTCTTGATGCTACCATCCACACCATGCAGCCTGTGTTCCAGCAACAATGGGCCATAGCCATTCATCTGTTCCATAGCAACTCTGCATCCTTCCCTCATATTCTTTGCAGTAGTGAGCTCAGGTAACCCCTCATCTTTGATGTTTTGCAGAATCGCTTCCAATGCAGATTTGCTTGTTTGAGGAATATTTTTCCTCAATTTGGTCAACTTTGCCAATTTACTTGCCCTTGGGGAAGTTGCAGTGCCCTTCTGGGAGGTTTCCATCACAAGCACTTGAAAATAGCACAAAGGAGTAAAATGGTTTCCACTGCAGTGCAACCAACATGTCTTAAAAGAATGTGCTGTCCAAAGCTTTGTTTCAAACTGCCATGATGCTAATGCAATCTCTTGTTTAAATTTTATCTTGCTGCCAAATATCTCAGCCATGCACTTGCCTTGGGCATGTGGGCTGCAAGGCATGTAGTGAATCATAGGTGTGGTTCCTCAAGTTGCAACTGACTATAAGTAAAATAGCCTTATTGTGGCTAATAGCTTTCTATTCACCATGAACCTTTAAAGGTTATAAATGCACATGTTGCAAATGTTTGAGCCATAAAGGCTAATGAAGATTTATATGTTTGAGCCATAAAGGCTGGTGAATATTTATGAGCCTTGCATGGCTAATTTGAAGATTTGAGCCACAAAGGCTAATGAACATCTAGGAACCTCACAAGGCTAATTTGGAAGACATATATGAGCATCAAAAGGGCTTCTGTGGAACACATGAAGGAAGCTAGCAAAGTAACAGCGCACTATGGCACAATGTGAAAAAAGGGCAGCCTGCAAGGGCTAATGGGTGTTTTCAAGCAAGAAAGCAAAACATTGACATCTGAAGAAGCCTTGATGGCTAATGGCTTCAGGTTTGCAGGAAAAGGGAAATCTTGCTAGCATCAACAATTTCAAATGCTTTCATTTTCCCAGGGACTCAGGGTGCTTCAGCAGACCAACCCCATCAAATCACCATCTGCATGGGCCAGAAGGTACTTTGCCCCATCTGCTCACCCAAGTTCCAACAAGCAGCGCAAATCTGCTTTTTGCAGTTCTGGGCATGCCACTTCCTCCAGGCATCCTTGCCATTGAGCCTGGTTCCCTTGTATTCTGGGAAGTCACACTTCTCACATCCAGATGGAGTTCCTCGACATCTGGAACATCCCCAGCAATTGGCCTTTGGCTCAGCTGGCTGGGCAGCTGCTTTTGGAGCTGCTTTGGCAGCAGCAGGTCTTTTCAGAGCACTTGGCCCAAGAGTCTTCTTGGGAGGGACACATGCTTTTTTGGCAGCACTGGGTCTTTTCATGACCTTGGTGTCCTGCTTCAAGGCTTTCTGCCTTTTGTTTCTGGCTTGAAGTTGTTTAAAAGCTCGATTCTCAAAGTCTTCCAAGCTCTCAGGTTCTTGGCTTTCACCAGAAGCTGCAGCACCAGTGTTGTCAGGCTCTGCATTCTCAGTCCTTTTGTCCAAGGTTTGAGCAGGAATTGTTGCAGCTGTCAAAGTTTCAGCTGCAAGACTTGCAGCTGAAGGCTGTGCCTGGGAAGCTTCCACTGCTTCTTGGGGTAAGTCAGCCAAAGCCAATCTCTCTGGTGCCTCTGAAGACCTGGATGAAGAGGTGGACCTTCTCCTGGTCAAGATGTCAATTTTTGGCTCATCCATTCCTTTGGCCAGCTCTTTCATCATTTGCATCATTCGAAAAAACGTGCCCACCTCACTTTCATCATCTGTCCTGAGGGTAGTTTTCCTTTTGTATCTCTTGCTTGGCAAGGCAAGTGAATTGTCTTGGAGATCTCCATGTGTGTTCCTCACAATAGCATCCTTCAACAAAGCACCCACAGAAGGTGCCACCAAAGAGCTCACTGGCTGTGGGTAATCACCTTCTTTGTAGCAAGCTTTCATGAAAGCATCTCCCAAATCTGTAGGCTTCTCTGGGTACCTCAGAAATCCAGCCACCAGACTTGGCTGCTTGCTAGAAACAAAGCAGTCATGCAAATAGTTGCCAAGCTTGTAAACCTCCATGGGGGGAGGCTTGGGCTCTCCCCTTTGGATCATCAGGTGGAGCAGCAAGGACAAAGCATGCTTCTTTGTCTGTTCTTTCATAGACTTGACACCAACTGCTCTCAGCCTGCTGACACATACATGGACAGCTTCCACATATGGTGCAGATTGAACCATTTGCCATTCCTTCGAACTCAAGTAGTTCCACAGTGAGACCAGTATCTGGCAGCCAGCCTGGAGCTTCAAGGCACCAGCAGAAGCATCCACAGCTTTCTGATCCACTGCTTCTTGTAAACTCGACTTCAAATCTGTAGGCAGACTGGAAGCTTCAAGTTTTTCAGTCAACTTCAGAAGCAAGGAGGGGGTCAAAGAATCTATGGCCTTGATCTTGTGCTCCAAAGTCTCAAGCAACTTGGGTAATGCCAAGGCATTGGGCCTGAGCTTCTGCAAGGCCTCCATGTCTTCAATTTCCTTGAGGAAATCATCCACACTCCAAGCAGCCATGGCTGCCAGCTTTGCCAGAGGCAAGGGAAAAAAGCAGAGGTAAAGGACAGCATTTAATATATTCATGCTGTTGGTAAAAGTGACACCTTTGGTGCTGCAATGCAATCTGAACATGTTGGCCATGGTCCTTTCTCAGTCTAGGAGCCCAAGTGCCATTGCATTGTTTTTGTTTGCAAGCACCTACTGGTATGTGCAATGTGTTTCTGAAGGTGCTGATGGAAAGCAGAAGTGCTCCAAATATCTGTATGAGCCTGGCAGGCTAATGGCTTCTTGGAAGCATAGGCTGGTGAATGAATGAGCCTGGCAGGCTAATGGCTACTTGGAAGCATAGGCTGGTGAATGAATGAGCCCTCAAAGGCTAATGGATAGAAGGATTCGAATGCAAACTTTTGTGATGTAGCCCTAGAAACCAATAGCACCAAGTGTTTGGATGTAGATGTCTCTGTTTGAAAGCCTTGCAGGCTAATGAGCTGTTTTGGAAAGAGGCAGAGGGAAGAAACAAAAAGCAACATGTATGAGCCTTTAAGGCCAATGGCTTGTTGAAAAGGTTCACATTTGAATTGTAAGCCTCAAAGGCTAATGTGCTTCTTGAGGGTGGGAAACAAGATGAGCCTTAAAGGCTAATGGCAGATTGAAAAGTGTCACTTGCACACTGTAAGCCTCAAAGGCTAATGTGCTACTTTAGAGAGGTACAGGCTCATGGCACAGCCAAAGTCTTCAGCAGCACTTTTTTCAGAGACCCCTCAAAGCTTCAGGCCATGTCATTGCTGCTGCCTGTGTGGCAAACTTCCTCCATCATACAAATGCTAGGTTCCACCAGGATGTCCAGTTTCACCTTCATCTCCACAAGCTTGTCGTATATGCCTTGCACTTGTCCACCCTGGCAGTACACTGCCTGGTTGGTGCTGTCTTCTAAGTGTTCCATTGTTCTCAAGGTACTCACAGCAGAGTCGAGCTTTTGCACCACCTGATGCATGAGCAAAGCCATATTGTTCATGGCCTCCAAGAACTGCTTGAGGTAGGCAACTAACTTTAGCAGCAAAAGGCACACAGCCAACAGCGCAGTCTCCAGCAACATAGCCTAGATGGCCAAGTGGTTGGAATTGTGTTGTTCCTTGGGAGCCAAACCTCTCCATATAGTTCCTGGAGATTGATGATGCCATGAACAAATGCATTTGTCAGGGAAGAATCATCCCAGGAGCAGTGTGTATGAGCCACAAGGGCTAATGTAAACCATAGCTATGCAACAAAGGCTCATCAAAAGCACCATTGCCAAGGAACATCAGTGCAGAGTTTCCTGTGCCCATAATGAGCCTTAAAGGCTAATGGAAGGAATATTGTAGCCCCAAAGGCTAATGTGACACAAGGCTGAGCCTCTAAGGCTAATGAGAAACATGACTGAGCCACAAGGGCTAATGTCAACCAAACCTGGAACCCAAAAACTTGTGACCAAGTGCCAAAACAAAACATTTTTTTTCATTTGACAGAAAAAATGGTATTGTTTTTAAAGTTTGATTTCTTGAATTGATGCTTGGAAATTTATTTTTGAACTCAAAACTGTTTGAGTTTCAATTCAGCTAGCTGAATTGAAATATAAACTGTTTGAGTTTCAATTCAGCTAGCTGAATTGAAATGCAAACTGTTTGAGTTTCAATTCAGCTAGCTGAATTGAAATGCAAACTGTTTGAGTTTCAATTCAGCTAGCTGAATTGAAATGCAAACTGTTTGAGTTTCAATTCAGCTAGCTGAATTGAAATGCAAACTGTTTGAATTTCAATTCAGCTAGCTGAATTGAAATTTGTTGGTATTTTTTAAGAAACCAATGCATTACATGAGCCTCCAAAGGGCTAATGTGAGTTCAGCTCATCAAGCTTCAAGCTCCTGGAGCTCAATTTTTTTGTTGCGCATTCAGCCATTGGAAAGCTTTGCTGTTGGGTTCAGCCATCAGCAGGCTCTGTGCTACTCAGTGTGGCTACCCCTCACCAAACAGAGAACATCCATATCTGAGAGTTTGTTTTCTTATTTATTTAATTTTGTTACTCACCATGGGTAGCCACTTTTCTTTGGCCCAGCATCACCCCACTTCTGGATAGCACTTTCCAGGCATAGAGTTTGCAGGTATGTGGAGTGATGCTGGGAAAACAACTTCATAGCTCTGTCTAGTTCAAGCCACCTCTCCTTGTTGTAGAGAGCCATGAGCATTACTGCCCTATTTTGCCAGCCTGACTTCCAGCGTTTTTCATGGACACCACTCAGAGTTTCCTGGACAGCTTTTTGCTCCTCTGGAGTTAATGGGATTAACTCACCATGCCACCATCTATATCCTGCTGGTGTTTGGGATTGACCCACAGTGACTCCAGCATTGCCTGTCATCTCAGCCACACCCATGGCACCAGAAGAAGTGTCTTCACCTTCAAGTTCTTCCTTAACCATGGGCTCTTTGGAGTGGAAGTCATTTGCAGATGGCTCTGCCTGAAACTGGCCTGGGTACCATTTCTGGGTGGCAGTGTCCAATTCCTTGGACTCTGCGCTGCTCCATTGGTTGGGGTCACTGGCCCATTGATTGGTGGCAGTGCCCCATTCACTGGACTCTGCACTGCTCCATTGGTTGGGGTCACTGGCCCATTGATTGGTGGCAGTGCCCCATTCACTGGACTCTGCACTGCTCCATTGGTTGGGGTCACTGGCCCATTGCTTGGTGGAAGTATCCAATCCTTTGGACTCATCACTGGTCCATTGGTGCTGACTGGAGGCACTTACCCATCCAGTGGGGTGAGCAGAATCCCATTGTGAAGAGGGACTGGTCCATTCATTGGCCTGGTCAACCCACTCCTCCTTGATGGCAGCAGGCCTCTCCCAAGCACCAGTAGGACCATTGTCAGAGTGAGTGGCCCAATCCTGCACAGAAAACAGCCAAAAAACAGTTCACCATGGATAGAAAAATAAAAACAAACATCAGTTCAGTCCTCAGTCACCTGCAAACTCTGGCCATCAGCTGTGGTGACATAGTGCTGCTCATAGTAACTGGTGTAGTGCTCCACTTCTGAGTCTTGGTCCACATCCTTCTCTACAGCAACTTCTTCCCATTCTTCTTCATGGCAGCCACCACCTTGCTCAAGTTCAGGCTGCTCTGCAACATCATCTGCGCTTCCACTAGGTGCAGGCTCTTCCTTGAAAGGATCATATTCCTCTGACTTGTCATCTCTTGTGATAAGGTCCTCAAAAAAGCCTCGCATAGCCACCCTCTCTGGCCCAGCATCTTCAGGAGGATCTTGCAGACACTCTGCCAGAGCAGCTTCGTTCTGGAGCAGTGCAAGACCCAGATGCATGCAAACACTAACTAAATTTTATTCAACACAAACACCAATGGTTACATGGAGCAGTGGTAAATAAACATATTTCAGCAATACATTGGAAAATACATTGGAAAATACATGGAAAAACAAAACCCCATCCTGCTCTATCAAGGCATCCAGCTCAGTGCCATGGCTGTCCTCCTGAGAGGTAGAATCCCGCAAGGTTTGTATGGAGATTTCGGCATGCCTCTTCATTGCAGGCAAACTCCCTTGAGTTGAAAAAATAGACACAAGCTTTAATAAACATGAAACAGTAGCCTGTGTTTGAGCCCCAAGGACTAGTTTGCAAACACTAGAAACAATAGATATGTGTGAGCCTCAGGGGCTAATTTGCATGGAGCCTCAGGGGCTAGTCTGCAAGGCCATGACCTTTTCAGCCAAATAGGCTAATGTGAAGTAGCCCCACAGGCTAATGTCAAAAACACAAGTGCAGAGGACCCAAGAGTTACTTGAGCCTCATGGGGGCTAGTTTGAAAAGACAGAAGATATAACAATGAAGTGTTCAAGACCATCTGCTTCAGCCCTGAAGGCTATAGAAGCAAGAGCAGAGACAAGTAGAAGCCATGCTCCCATTTTCAAGGCAGGCAAGTCTTCTCAGCCCTGCTTCCTCTTTTTAGAGGCAGGAGCCTTTAAGGCTTCATCATCCAAAGGTTCTGCCTGCAGCAGTTGGGACTCTGCTGTCAAAGCCTTCTCATTTGTGAGCACAGGAATTTTCAATCCATCATAGGTTACCATCTTGACCACCATGGTCACATCCATTTCCTCAGATGTCTTTCCAACAAAATTGTAAGGAATGAGTGCACCATCTGCTGAATCATCATCAAAGTACTTGAAGGCCTTGTAGGGCTGCACCAAGAAGTGCTCACTTTGATATTCCACCACAACTCCTTTGACCTTCTTCAAGTCCTTTCCCTTCAGGCTTTGAATGGTGCCAGCAGGATACAAAGTCAATGCACCCTTCTTCACTTTCACATCGCAAAACAGAGCTGGTGCAGGCATATGGGCAAAGACTAAGCTATTGTGCACAGTGCCCACATGGTCTTTGTAAGCCTTCAACAGCAAGCTCTGGACTTCTGCTTTCTTCAAGTCTGCCCTGAAACATTCAGAGGTGTGAACAGCTTTCAGCAAAGCCATCTCTTGGGTACATCGCTGGGGCATGCCTTTTTTGGTTGCCTTCCAAGAATTCAGCTTGCTGAACTCACACAACTCAGACTCCTCAGGTCCAAAGATGGGTGTGTGGATGAATTCCACAGCACTTTCAGTCCAGCTCTTCAGCTTGAAGACCTTTTCCTCATGCAAAGTAGGGTTCACATAGAAACAATCCAGCAGCAGGTGGGGGCACTCCAGCTGTGCCATAGCTTTTGCACTGGCATTCAGCAAGTCTTTCACCTCATTTGCTGAAGCTGGGCCTGCCTTGGCCTTTGCTGCAGCTGCCACACTTGAAGAAGCTTGCATGTTCCCATTAAGCAAGTCATTTGCAAACTCATCAACAATCGCCTGCGCACTTTCAAAGGGATGATCTCTGGAATGCTTCTCCTTGGACAAGAGGTGCAAAACCAATCTCACACACAATTTCCCAAAGCACATGGCCTTGAAGGCTTGAGCACCAGTGTGCTGCTGCACCTGCTTCCATCCTTCTTTCAGCAGCCCTTCCATTTTCACAGTCTTGTCCTTCAAGCTTCCTTTCATTTTGTCCAAATCTGCTTTGAACACCAGCTTGCTAATGCCATCAGCATGTCTCTTTGAAGTCAAAATTGTGCAAAGCAAGGCTGCCCTGGTCATAGGCAACTTGTTCTCCTTGATCTTGAAATCGAAGTGGCTGAGCTGGAACATCATCTCTGAGCCAGCCAAAATGCTGGGGCCATACTTGGAGCCTCAAATCTATTGCAGTTTGCAGCAAATTACAGAGAATATTTGAGCCCTTGCAGGCTGCTGGAGCCAGTCAAAGGCTATATTGTCTGCATTTGAAGCCTGAAGGCTAATGAGTTTATGTGAAGCCTGCAAGCTAATGTGTTTTGTTTGAGCCTTGAAGGCTAATGTGCTCTACAGTGGGAGCCTCAAGGCTAATGTGTTTTATTTGAGCCTGAAGGCTGCTCTGTTTTATTTAAGCTTGCAAGTTATGCCAAAAACACCTGCAACATCATTTAGTTCTGATCCAAGAAGCAAAAATCCTTCAGGAGGAGGAGAACTGGGAATGCATCCCCACCAGAATACAGCTTCACAAAGTATGCAATGTCATCCATGTATTCCCCACAGGTAGGCAAACCTTCTTTGACAGCCTTCACACATTCATCTAACTTTCTGCCTTGCTTCAAAAGGCTGGCAATCTCCAGCATGGCTTCCAACTCAGAAGTCATCTTGGTGTTGGAGTTGGCAGAGTTCATGGTACTGGCAGCCCATCCTGGAAAGGCAGGAAAAGCTTCCTCCACCTCTGCTTTCACAACAGCCCAGACCCATCCATTGGCAATCAGCTTTGTTAAGTCTTCTCCCAAAGCCAATTTCTCCCCAGCTGGTGACACACACCCTTGTTCGCATGCCCTCAGGAACATGCAGAAGTGTGAGTTTCCCAAGGTCAGGTACCTTTCACTATGTGTCACATGGCCCAAGAGGTTCTCTGAGCTCTGCATCAAGGCAATGTTCTTCTCCACTTGCACTTTCTTTTTGGCAGCTTTGCCCATCTCAATGCACATGGAACTTGCATGCAGCAAAGACTCTTTCAATCCACTGGCAAGGATCAGGGACCCTTTCTTCCAACAGTCATGTGCTTGAACCATACTGCCTCCTCTGTTGTCAGGATGACAAAGCAAATCTGTCACCTTCAGGCAAGATTGGTATGCCAAGCCATTTTGGGTCAGAAGGTCCAAAATCTTGCTCAGCTTCACATTGACCCCTTGCTGGGACTGGAGCAAGGTTTCCATATCCTTTTGTACTTGGGGTTCCATGGCACACAGAGCTATACAGTTTGTAGCAATGCCCAAGGGACACCATTCCGAAATATTCATGATTGAAACCTGGAATATCTTCTGTTCCACATTTACTTTGCAGAAAAAGCCTTGTGCCTTGACACCCATATTGTTCCTGTTGGTGCTATTGCATCCCTTTCTAAGGCCACTAGCAGCCTCATGGCTGCAAAGAAACATTGATTTATTGCCCAGGAGTGCTATTTGATGTCATGTGCACAATGAACCAACATGTTTGAGCCTTTGGAGCCTGCTGGCTAATGTGCTTCAAATGCCAAGGCAACAGCATCATGAGCCATGTATAGGCTAATGTCCTATATAAGGTTAAAGCCCTTGGGCTATATTTCAAACCAAAACTAGAAGTTTGAGCCATGAAGGCTAATGTGCTGCAGAGGCATCCAGTTACATTGGGTTTGAGCCCCATGGGCTAATGAATTTCAGCACAGAGATCTTTCAGCCATGCAGGCTAATTTGCTGAAAGCAGCAGGTTTTCATACCACTTTCTCAGCTCTGCTTTCAGTCTTCCTTCTGCTTGTCCTTGGCAAAGGCTCCACTCTTTTTGTAAGATCTGGAGGCAGTTTCTTCCAAGCAGTCAGGCAACAGGAACTTGAAGACAGCTGACAGCATCTGTGGATCCATCTTCACCATCACATCTGCCACCTGTGGCCTTTTGGAGGGGCACAGCAAGGAAACTAAAGTTCCATGTACATCCACCTCCACAACTGTCTCCATGCTCCTTCTCCTCTTTGCAGGAGGTTCTTCATCTTGAACTTCTGCAGGAGTGTGGGACAGCTTGGAATTTCTCAAATTCTTCAGCTCTTGCATCTTCGGGCCACCAGCAAGAGAAGCATTCCTGGCAGCTTTGCCACAGATCAGGCTATTGATGGTGAAGTTGGTCGCAGACAGCTTGAGGAAAGTGTCTCCTTTCTGATCCTGCAAGGTCACAAATCCAAACATGGGAAAATTTCAAACCATGCTTTCAAACTAGGTGGTGGCTATTTGGGCATTAACCCATGTCCTCCACCAGCAGAGCAGCTGGAATACTCAACAGCTTCCCCTTGTCAAAGCGGATGCTATAGGAGGTTTCAATGTCCACTTGGTAAGCTTCTTCCATCATGAGGTAGGCAGAGCCAAAAATGCTGTGCATGGAATGCACAAATTGAAAATTCATCCAGACACAATCCACATCAGGAACCAAGCAAAATCAAATTCTCAAGGTATGCAACAATGATGAGCCTCATGGCTTCTTTGCTAAATCACAAAACCAAGAGCCCAAATGGCTAATGTGTGAATGCAAAAAAACATCAGCCCACATGGCTAATTTGTGAATTTGCACAAACATGAGCCCAAAAGGCTAATTTGCAAGCTATAAAATACAAGAAAATAGTTTTTATTTTCAACATGTTTTTAATCTAACTAACTCAGCTAACTAATTAGCTGGTTTAGTCTAAGTGCTTAGCTAACTTCACTAAGTAGTTAATGTTCTCTTAAGATCTTTAAGATGGTTAGCTAACAATTATAAAAACATAGTAACTATGTTTAAAACATTAGGTAGGTTACAAGGATTAGTAATCAATTAGGAGGTACTTAGCATATAGTTAAGATCTAGTTAGTAAAGCAATAATAACTTACTTATCTGTAGCAAGTAGTTACTAAAACCACAGCCCATCTAAGTACATGGTAAATCTCCATCGCCAATCAAAACCTGGGCTCACCTGCTGAAAGGTCTTGGCCAAGGGGTCCTCTCCGTTGCCAATGCAATCGCTATGCAGCTGCAATGGCTGGGTGGTGCCATCCAGCCCGCGCGAGGCCAAGATGTATTGCAAGCCGAACCTGACAAAGTGGTGCCCCATAAATAAGGATTTAACCAACAAAAATGGTGGAAAAAATAATATGATTTAATGGTATATATAGCCGTACAGATGATTTATGGTAGCTAACTTGGTAAACAAAACTCAAATTCTCCTGGGTTCATGGTGGATATATCGAATTATTTACCAGTGTTTTCCAACCAAGTTTTAGCTGGGGGGAGCACAACCTTGGACCAATAGCAAGGATATGTCCAACTAGTTTATCACGAACATTGATTTTAAAAATTATTACCATCATTTGCAATAATAAGAAATGGCTTAGTGATGGAGATGTTTCATCAAACATATGAGAGGAATTAACGGATTTTTTAGTGGAAATGCATTTCGCCGTTCAAGGCGGCGCCGCTTACTCTAGTAATTAAAATGTTTGCTGGTCAACATTGACTAGTTTGATTATAGCGCGTACCATAATTCCTATAGTTATTGTCTTCCGCATTTTTTTTTTTGATTTTGGGGGCCGCGGTTCGGTCTTTTGCAAGAGCTTTTGCATGCCAAGCTTGGGTTCTCTGAGACGGTCCCCAAAGCATTTGATGAACTAAGGCCGGAACATGAAAGGAGCATCATCTTGCCAAAAACAACTTGTCAAGATTCCGGGTGAATGCAAGCAGATATGAAATAACATATCCATGTAGAATTTGGGGTCGCTCAGCTGTGAAACTGGGGGTGGCTAAAGCCTGAACCCCAAAAATGTCAGCAAAAAACTTTGAAATGTTGCATCCTGTATTTATCTTTTTCTGAGAGCAAACTATTCTAAACACATGTTTTAATATTTTTAATGTATTTGGGCCAAGCAAATCTTGCCGTTAAGCTATTAGGAAACCTAACGTGCATCACATCCATGGACTTGAGGCTCCAACATATATAAGGACACGTTTGCAAGGAACGATGTTCTACCTGCACCTAGGTGCTGGTAAGTGCTTTCTCAAACGAACAAACGCGCAGTTGAATGCTATACATACATACATAGATGTATATGTATATATATATATATATTGGATGTACATACTATATACATGTATGATCTGCATGGCAGGACAGTACTGGCAATAAAACGGAACCTGGCCTCCTTGCTCTCCCCACTCCCCAAGGCCTGGGTGGGTTTTCGAATGCCATAGCTTCGCCTCCAAACATGCAGCTCACATTTCTTGAACAGCGTGGAAACGCTGCCTGGGTGGCAAGCATCATTGGGTTGACTCACATGCATTCAACATAATACCCATTCTTTCTGGCTTGTAGAATCTTGTAGATGGCTACCCTCCGGCAATCAAACATGGGGACATCTCTGGTCAAAATGAATCTTTATGTTGTAGACATGTGGCATCAAACCATCCTCTTTGCATGCTTTAGTTTGGCTTGAAAGCGCCTAAGCGTTCCACAGCGGAAAAAAAACGCGATCTTTTATGGAAGGCACTGACTACTATTACACGGGTTCCATGCAGAAACATGCGCTATGTCACCCAAAATGCATTGATAATGTTTGCTTTCCTGTCTGTAGGGGGGCCTAGCGAATGATATACCATGACACCTCCTTTTTTGATCATTTTTGCTGGTTGATATCCCCGTGCTTCCCCACCACATCTCCAACAGCAATGGTCAACCTCAGATTTACCCCCCAAACAAAAAATTGGCTTCTCATTTCTCATGGGCACTCATTCCCCCAAAAAAATGCTAAAAAACTGGAGCCCATCCAATAACCAATCACCAAGCCGTATCTCCCGATTGCATGAACAAAGCCTGAAACTCAATCAAACCATAGGAAAATTGAGCGATTGAGATTTTCATGATAGTACCGACCTGGATCATTCATATGTTCCAGGAGGGGGCGTAAGCAAAAAAACACAACAACAACAACAACAACAACAACAACAACAACAACCACAATCGTCCGGTTGGAGACGGTGTGAAGGCAACATTTTCTCTTGTTAAAATGCAGATGGCTTGTCGCTTCAGGTTTGGCAGAGTACAGCACGGCTAGAAACTGGAATGCGTCCCGCCAAATCTTACTTATAGAATGTTAAAACATGTGAAAACGAGTTAGAACCTGTTAGACCCCACTTATTGGACTGGCCATGCAGAAGCTTTACAAACACCCAGTAACCCAAATATATAAAAAAAATATAAACATATATATATATATATAGATAGAGGCCCTTTGTACCCTTTTTGTGATATTTACGGTTTTGACATATATTTGAAACAATTTGGTACATGTGCTATGCACTACTTGTCTGGCTTTTCACCTAAAGTGAGTATGGGTCAAATTTCAAGACCCTGCGCACCACTGATCCTGGTGAATTTTGTTTCGTGTTATGCAACCCTTCAACTTTTTTGAAGTACCCCACTTGGTCTCGTAAACCCCCCCAACGATGGCCCATATATAAAAGAATCTATCTACCTACCTATCTACCTATCTAGCTATCTATCTATCTATATATCTATCTATCTAGCTATCTATCTATCTAGCTATCTATCTATCTGTCTATCTATCTATCTAGGTATCTATTTATCTAGGTATCTATCTATCTAGGTATCTATCTATCTAGGTATCTATCTATCTAGGTATCTACCTATCTAGGTATCTATCTATCTATCTATCTATCTACCTATCTAGCTATCCATCTATGTATCTATGTATCTATCTATCTATGTATCTATCTATCTATCTATCTATCTATCCATCTAACTATCTATCTATCTATCTATCTATGTATCTATCTATAATCTATCTATCTACCTATCTATCTATCTACCTATCTATCTATCTATCTGCCTGTCTATTCTATCTATCTATCTATCTAGCTAGCTAGCTAGCTATCTATCTAGGTATCTATCTATCTAGGTATCTATCTATCTAGGTATCTATCTAGGCATCTATCTATCTAGGTACCTAGGTATCTATCTATCTATCTACCTATCTAGGTATCTATCTATCTTTCTTTATTTATTTATTTCTTTCTCGTCCATCTCATCTATCTATCTAGTCTATCTATCTACCTATCTATCTAACTAGGAGCACGGCCTTTAGATGGCCGTTTTTTTTTGATTAATGGGATGTTGTTGATCATGTTTGATGTGCCCGCACCAATAGGAATTTATGCGTTTTTATTTTTAAGGTCGTTAACCCCTGATTCACAAGCAGTAGAACGAAAACAGTCATTTCGCCTACACGAAACTGCCATCTTTGGGTGTTCTGGCCAACTTGAAACACATTTGTCGTCACATGTTATTAGCCCTTTCTTGGTCAGAGCAGCGCATCCAGATCTTCCATGAACCATTGAGGATCTGGACGCTGTAAGCTTGAACGCCAGCACCACATGAGCACATATTGTGTCACGGAGGGGTGCGTAGAATGACCCATGAATGCAAAGTTCAAGAGAACACGCAGTACCGTAGCAAACAGTTCAAGAGAACATACAATAGCGGAGCATGACGCATGAGTGCAAAGTCCACGAGAACCTACAATAGCGTAGAATGACGCATGTTCAAGAGAACATACAATAGCGTAGCATGACGCTTGAGTGCAAAAGTTCCAGAGAACATACAATAGCGTAGCATGACGCATGAGTGCAAAGTTCAAGAGAACATACGATAGCGTAGCATGACGCATGAGTGCAAAAAATTCAAGAAAACAAACAATAGCGTAGCATGACCCGAGCATGACGAATGAATGCAAAGTTCAAGAGAACAGAAAGTACCGTAGCATGACCCATAAGTGCAAAGTTGAAGAGAACATATAGTACCGTAGCATGACCCATGAATGCAAAGCTTAAGAGAACATAGAGTCATAGAGTAGCGTAGCATGACCTATGAAAGAGAGAGCCATGGACGCTATTATCCCACCCCACCCCACCCCACCCATGAATACATGCACCTGCGGCAGCCACAGCGTAGCATGTCCTCATCTGCAAATCACATTGAACGTTAATACATGCCCCGCCCCACCCCACCCATTGAACACATGCACCTGCAGGCAAACACAGCGTAGCATGTACTTCATCTGCACATTCACATGGACGTCAATACATGCCCCGCCCCCATCCCACCACCCCACCCCACCCCACCCCCCCAACGTCAACAATACACCACGGCCGTCTAAAGGCCGTGGTCCAACTACTTAACTATCTATCCAATCTAACTATCTATCTATCCGTCTATCTATCCATCTGTCTGTCTATTTATCTTAGAATCTATCTATCTATCTGTCTATCTACCTATCTACCTACCTCTCTATCTATCTACCTATCTATCTAACTATCTATCTAACTACCTATCCACCTCTCTACCTATCTATCTATCTTTCTATCTGTCTATCTATCTACCTATCTACCTACCTCTCTATCCATCTAACTATCTATCTAACTATCTATCTAACTATCTATCTAACTATCTATCTACCTATCTACCTATCTACCTATCTACCTATCTATCTATCTACCTATCTGTCTGCCTATATGCCTGTCTATTCTATTTATCTATCCATCTATCTATCTATCTGTCTATCTATCTAACCATCTATCCCTCTATCCATCTATCTGTCTATCCATCCATCTATCCATCTATCTGTCTATCCATCCATCTATCCATCTATCCATCTATCTGTCTATCTAACCATCTATCCATCTATCTGTCTATCCATCCATCTATCCATCTATCCATCTATCTGTCTATCCATCCATCTATCCATCTATCCATCTATCCCTCTATCCCTCTATCGCTGTATCTCTCTCTCTCTCTATCTATCTATCTATCTACCTATCTATCTATCTATCTATCGATCTATCTATCTATCTATCTATCTATGTACCTACCTACCTACCTACCTACCTACCTACCTATCTACAATTTAATATATTTTAGTTATATATTTAATATCTTTTATTTATATATATAATAAATAAATAAAAAATAAAAATAAATAAATAAATAAAATAAACACAAAAATAAATACAATAAATAAATAAAGAAAGAAACAAAGAAAGAAAGAAAGAAAGAAAGAAGTGAACTCATTTTCTTGGGATCCCCAATTTTGACCCCCAACTGCCCAGTCACCGTTGTGGGCTTGAAGGCGAACCACCATTCCACTGCAGTGCCATCACCGAGCACCGGTGCCAGCGTAGTGGATGCCGTGGCCGGCGAAGGCTCCGTGAATGGGCGCATGCCGTCGTCGCGGTTGCCGGCCCTGAGGTAGTCACAATTTGGGCTCATTATTCCTGGGATGGAAGGCCCATCCAACCAGAAAGCCAACACACCTGCTTATGCAGAAAGCCGCCCCCTTTGGAACCGACAAATAGCTGGAAGCAACATGTACTCACATGTGGGTTGACCGATGGAAGCATCTAAAAACTGTGGTTATGGACCCGCTTTTTACTGGAACCGCCTGTACTTGTTGACATTTGCCAAAGACTACATTTTTTCCTAATCACAAGGATCTAGGAATCCCTATTCGTAGCAAGCACCCGAGCAAACTGTAGTCACTGTAACATATGCCGCAGCTAGAAACACACATTTTCAAGACGAATCCCCTTATCCTAACCCAGATTTATGGATGGTGATGTCCACCAGTGACCTCTTGCCGGAAACGTTGCAGGTTTGGTAATGTAAATAAAATGCTCACACCCAGCAAAAGAAAACGCGCTGCACTACCCATGCACCAAACTTTTACCTTCAGGAGGCATTGAGGACATTAAACCACGATACCCCAATCCAAAAAGAAAACCTTATGCATTGACGAAACCATCCGTGCAGACTATCAAAAATCTAATCCAGTCATCACGTATTTTGGAAGGTTTGCCCAACCCTACAGTGAGGTGCCTCCACTTTTCCTTGAACCCTTGCAGAAACATATATGGAGCATATGAGACTATCTCTACGCATATATATATATATGAATATAAATAAATATGTATATATATATATATGAATAAATATTGCTGTATGTGTATAAATATAAATATATATATATACATATATTGCTGTATATATATATAAAGAATATATATATATATATGTATAATTGTGTATATATATGTACATATGAATATAAATATACATATATATGTATATATATATGTATATATATATGTATATAAATAAATATGTATATATATATATATATCTGTATATATGCATATATGTATATGTATATGTATATATATATATATATATGTAAATTTATATGTATGCATAAATAAATATGCAAATAATATATATATATCTACATATTCCTATATATATATGTATGTATATATACAATTATTGCTGTATGTATATACATATCGCTGTATATATAAATATAGAATATATATATATGTATAAATATGTATATATATATATGTATATATGAATATATATATTGTATATAATATATATATATATATCATCCCATTGCTGCTGACACTGCAAGTTCATTTTGTTTTGCGCGTTTCGATTGTTAAACCACCAGGTCGTGGTGGCTCAAATCAAGCCCTTTGTGGCGGATAAATTCTCGGATGGGCCACCCACAGCCAAAATACTGGTTTAATCCTCGTGTTTCTTAGTTCAATTATGTTAAATCCACAATTCTCACTCCGGATCAACAAATGTCCATGTTTCTCCTGTTTTTCAGCGCTGGAGTCCGGCACTTCCCTGGATAAATGGTATAATTCATTCACCAATTTGGTAAAGCAGTGTTAGGATGGTTACCCATGATGGTAGTAAAGCAATGGGATTCACTATCCCCAGCTGTTCCGTATATGTGGGCGGTAAAATTCATCAATCTGTGGTTTATGGCATTGCTTTACTACGATTATAAAATATCTATTTGGGTAAATTAGACGATTTCACTCCAGTAATCTGGAAAAATGGGATAGTTACCCACAATCCTACGCATCATTCCAGTGAGGTCGGAGTGAAGTCGTTATAATTTACCCGGGTATAGTGTCCAGTGGCTTTCACCCAGGCACATGGCATTGGCAAATGAGAAGTGGCTGGCCGCGGCCACCACAGCTCCCAGCACCAGGCCAATCAACAGCATGCCAGCGAGGCGCAAAGCGAACCAGCCTGGGTGGTGGAAATTTCCAGCAAGGTGTTGCCCCATAAAGAAGAATTTAACCAACAAACAAGATGCAGCCCACGAACCCGAATGCTCACACGGACACATTTGTTAATGGTACAGATGCTGGGCTGTCAAGTGTAAAGTATGATGCGTAAAGTGTAAAGTGTAGAGTGTGGAGTGTAAATTGTGGAGTGCCAAGTGTCAAATTTGAAATGTAAAGTGTAGAGTAGAGTGTGGAGTGTGGAAAGTAAAGTGTAACGTGTACAGTGTGGAGTGTAAAGTGTGAGTGTGGAGCGTCCAGTGTGAAGTGTGAATCGTAAAGTGTAGAGTATTAAGTCTAAAGTGTAGAGTGTGTGTGTGTAAAGTGTAAAGTGTAGAGTACGGGGTGTCAAGTGTAAAGTGTGAAGGGTGAAGTGCAAAGTATAAAGTGTTGAGTGCGAAGTGTAAAGTGCAATGTGTAAAGTGCAATGTGAGACGTAGGAACCGTGATAGGCAAAGATATCGAAAGGCTAAAACTTTCTGGGGAAGAGA